GATGAAAACTTTAAACACCTGAAAAAGGAAATTAAAGCAGAACTAAGGAAGTGGAAAAACCTTCCATGCTCCTGCATTGGGAGGATTAACATCATGATAAAGGCAATACTGCCAAAGGCTATCTACAATTTCAATGCCACACCTACCACTATTCAAACCTCATTCGTCAATGAAATAAAAGAAGCAATCCAAAAATACATATGGGCCATTGTTTCTATGAGGATTTGTTGTTTGGGGATTTAATACTTTGAGTTATATTTAAGATATGAGACCCTTGTCCATTGTATGGCTGGTGAAGTTCTCCCAATCTGTGGACTTCTACTGATCTAGTTAGCTATGTCCTTTGCCTTGAAGAAGCTCTGCAATTTCATGAAATCCCATTTGTGCAACGTTTCTTTGATATGTTGTGTTTCTGGGTCTCTATTAAGAAAATTTTGGCCTGTGCCAGGGAGACCTAGGGTTGCTCCTATTCCATCCTGTAATGTATTCAGGGTGTCAGTTTTTACTCTGGGGTCTTTGATCCATTTGCAGTTGATTCTGGTACAGGGTGATATATAAGGATTTAGCTTTAGTTTTCTACAAGTGATTAACCAATTTTGCTAGCACCATTTACTGATGAGGCTCTCCTTCTTCCTAAGATATGGAAACAACACAGATGTCCCTCAGAAGATGAATGGATCAAGAAAATGCGGTGTGTGTATAGAATAGATTTCTATGTATCTATCAGAAAGAATGACATTGCCCATTTGTTAAAAAAATTATATTATGTGGAGTAAGCCAGGCCCAAAGAAACATAGGTTCCATGGTTTCCCTTATTTGTAATAACTATTATATGTCTGAGAAAAGCAGAAATGGTCAGATAAGATGACTTTAGGCGAAATGAACCCCAAGATAAGGACATGAGTGGTTTCTTTTCTTTCTTGGTATTGTTTCTAACATATTTATAAGATGATTTTTAGTTGTTGTGTATGTCACCCCCAGCATGGTTTAACTCCTGTTTTCACCATATGTGATGTTGGTATAATTTGGGAGGAGAAGGGAAAAAACAAATTGTTTAAACAGGGATACAGGTGGACCCATTGCAACCATGAGAGGTACAAGATGCTATGTCGAAAAACGAACTTTACAACTTTGGTGTGGAGGCGACGGGGGTCGGGGATGTTGGGAGTGTAGTCCTGGAGATGAGAGGGCAGGGATGGTAGGAGAAAAACAAAGGAGGAGGCAACAATGCTTGATAAGAACTATACTCATTACTTTGCTCATGTAATTATAAGCCAGCTGTAAAGTATTTTCACAATAAAGAAATTTATTAAAAAAAGAAATCTAGTAACAACAGATGTTGGAGGGGATATGCCCAAAAGGGAACCATATTGCATTGCTGGTGGTAGCATAAACTTGTTCTTCCACTTGGGAAAGCAGTATGGATGTTTCTCAAAAGACTCCACATACAGCTCCACTATTAACCTGCAATCCCACTTTTAGGCATTTACCCAAAAGATCACAAACAAGGTCATACTAAAGCTACAAACATGTTTATTTCAGCATTATTCACCATAGCTAAGATACAGAACCAACCTAGATGCCCCTCAGTAGAGGAATGGATAGAGAAAATGTGATATATACATTGAGAGAAAAAGAGAGAGAGAGAGAAAGAGAGAGAGAGAGAGAGAGAATGGAATTCTATGCCTCCATCAGAAAGAATGGCATTGCACCATTTGTTAGGAAATGAAAAGACTTGGAAAAACATTATATAAAGTGAACAAAGTCAGGCCCAAAGAAACATAGGTCCCATGGTTTCCCTTGTTTGAAATGACTAGTACATGCCAAGGACAAGCAGAGAAGGTCAAATGCTATGACCTTATGTCCATATAAGATGATGTTAAGCAAAATGTACCCCAAGACAGGCAGAAGAGTGTTTTTTCTTTATTGCTATTGTATTTAATGAAATTATAATAGACTATGTGATTCTTTTGTTTCTTTTATTTGTTCTTCCCCCATGGTTAACCCCTGTTTTCACTGGATTTGATGCCAGTGTTCTGTATCTTGTACATACATTTTTGTAATTTGGGGAGGTAAAGGGGTATAGCAGAATGCTTAAATAGGGATGTAGGTTGACCTATTGTGACAATGATATGTCCAGGACACTGAGTTGAAAACAAAATATACAATGTTAGGGGCAGGAGGTAAGTACTAGTTGAGAAGGTGGGGAAGAAAGGGATGGTAGGAAAAAATACGGGGAGGTAACAATGATGGATAGGAAATGTACTCATTGCCTTGCTCATGCAACTGTAACTCCCCTGTACATTATTTTTACTATATATATTTTTTAAAGGTAAAAATAATAATTAGGAGGTGTTGGAAGGTCCCTGAGGCAGAACCAAATGCCATTTGCATCAGTTCCCACCATGGGTGGAGGAGGTTGACACTTGTCTTCCTATGCCTTCCCCCCAAAAATGCTCCCTCAAAACTTAAGCAACCTCCTACCCCAAATATAAGCACCAGCACACCTTCCTCACCTCAAGGATAATCATTTTGAAAGAATGGCCAAAACATACAGAAACTCTGAAACACTGGGAGTGATTAGAGCAAAGATGAGACACCTATGTTTGCATTACTTTGAAGTCAGAACTCCTACCTTTACCATATTAATCCCCCTGGCAGCCCAAGAGCTGTGTGTCTCTCCTCAGTTAGAGTGTGTCTTTGCCTTTCTGTTTCCTGTTTGTCTACCTACTTGCTTGTTTGCTTCCTTACTCAGTAGAGCTCTGCCACTTTGTGACTTGTCTAGAATTTCTTCTTCTGAGATCAAAGTTAAGGATCCTAAGTGAAGAGTCCCTACTTTTAGAGGGAAACTTCATTGAACTTCACCTGTTTTAGTGACCCTGCTGGTTGGTATTCCAGGTGTATTAGAGTTCTGTTGGCCACATCTATAATTAAGACCTGTTGCAGCACACAGATCTTGCCACTGCTAGACAGAATCTTCTCATATGACCATTCACTATGGATGAGGCATATAAGCCCCCTTGGCCCCAGATGGAGGCAGGATGGGACCCACCACTGACTTGGGTTTTCCCTGAGGTTTGTAGAACCACACAGTATTTGTCACCCAACTTGCCTTTGGTTTTCTCTGCTACTGGTTTATCGCCAGACCGGCTGACTTCTCACCGGGCCTATGCTCCCTCTAGTGGTGAAATTGTGGAAGTCACTGCAGACTCAGGAACCCTGAAGCCTGCCTGGAATTTCTGGAAAGACAGGCACAAACCCAGACCAGGCAGACTGGTCTATATCTCAGACTTTTCAAAGGCCAGATGATATCACATGTCCAATATGATCAAGTATGTTCCAGAATGATGAGCTCTCCTAGCATTCAATATAATCATTTTATGGAAATTCTCATAGAGAGAATCTCAAGTCTCGTGGATGTTTGCTGATGTCCTTTTGTACAATGTAACTCTGAGGCTTGACAACTAGAATGTTAGTAATACTAAATATTAATCCGACACTGGTGGCTCAGGCCTGTTATCATAACTACTCAGGAGTATGAGATCCAAGAATTATGTTTTGCAGTCACTTTGGGCAGGAATGTCTGTGAGCTTCTTATGTGCAATCAACCACACAGAAAATGGTAGCAGATCTGTGGGTCAAGTGGTAGAGTGCCAGCCATGAGGAAAAAAATTCTAAGGGACAGCCCTCAGGACTTGAGATTATGAATGATTACCAGAGCATGTGTGAACATGCACACACACACATACATGCATACGTGCAGCTCAATTAGAGAATGGACAGAGCAGAATATAGCTCTATAATATTCCACCTCCAATGGGAGTACTTTTCTAATGCTGGGTCTACACATGAGCCCCATCTGTCTCACTCACTTCCACACCACATTCAGTTGGCTTCAATATACCTCACAAATCTCTCATGGAATAAAGTTTTCCTTTCCATTCCCATACACGGTGTATCCACACAACTTGTCTGAGAAGATTCATCCATGACTTCACTAGTTTACAGAGAATTCTGTAGATCTAAAAGTGGTGAGCTCATCTGAGTCAAATGAATAAATCAAAGTGTATAAAGCACATGAAAAAGCTGGGTGCCAGTGGCTGATGCGTTTAATTCTAGTTACTCACGAGGCAGAGATCTGATGATGGCTGTTCAAAGCCAGCCCGGGCAGAAAAGTGCATGAGATGCTTCAAACCAATAAGCACTAGAAAACTGGAAGTGGTGCTGTGGATCAAGTGGTAGAGTGCTACCCTTGAGCTGAAGAGTGCGGGGACATAACCCAGGCCCAGAGCTTAAGCCTCATGGCAAAAAAAAGCATGAAAAATACATTGAAATTTCGCTTAGGAAGTTATGAGCAGGGAAAAATAGATAAACCTGGGGAGATGTCAGAAAACAAGGAATAGAAGCAGGGCTTCTGGGAATGTCAGAGGAGACAGGCTGAGATAAGGACAGCAGGGCAGAGGCTCACTCAACATTAGTTAAGGCAAAAATCAAACATGTCATGGATCTCTTATTCCAGGAGCTATGCTAACATGAAATTACACCAGAAGAAGAAAATGCATGTCTATCATAAGAAATGTTGCCCTGAAGGAAGTCCAAACATTAGTCCTGTTTTTAAAAGTATAAAGAACACAATTGACTGAAGATTCCCTAGCCTATGCCCTATGGATGGGGACATTGCATTTTAGTGTGTTAATATGGACTCTTAGTCACCCTATTGACCATGAGCCAGGTCAAGTAAGGCTCGAGGAGTCACAGAGATTGTGGGAAGTTTGGGAGAGCTCTGGGAAAGGGCAGTGGAATGGAACTGACAGAAATCTCTCTACCCTTTGGAAGAAAGAAAAATATTTATCAGCAAAGTCTGAAGTAAAGGAGAGTTGTTATAGTGAAGACAGAGTAGAAGATACAGAGAACAATAATGGATGTAACTAACTTCACCCACCCTGGCTGATAATCAAACAGAAATTTCAAATTTTAATAAAACTGAAGAAATTACTTACTGTAGGCTTTGTTGCTGCTCGCCAGGATCATTAATGTTCCGAACAAATTCCCAAGAATAAAGGGGGAAAAATCCAGCAATCACCACATCTCCCCTGCTGTGTGCCACAGATTTCTCTCTGCAAATGAGTCTGCCATCTTCAGAGGAACTGACCACGTGTAGATGCTGGAGGAAAAGCAGTGTCAGAGCCACAGGGAACATTGCTGCTGCGTTGGCATGGAGATATGATTCTGGCAGCAGACTGAGCCTGCTGTGTCAGGGGGGTGTCTAAATGGATCTTCAGTTTCCGTGGCTCCTTGTTACCAGGATGCCACTGGGACACACCAACGGCCTCCTCCACTGTCCTATAGGAAAACACAGCCCATTCTGCCCTCCAGCTCTGCATCTGGAGTCCAGCTTCAAGGTCAAAACAGAAGTTGGAAAACATGTGTAGCATATTCTCCACACCCTCAGGACTGTGATTTCATCCAAGATGGTAGATAATGAAACTCTAGGGATGGATTCCTTTCTAGTTGAGTTTTTCACAAACTTGTGTGAAAGCAAAGAGTTGAAAAGAAAAAAAATACACAACATAAAGTCTCATAGGAAAGCCACTAGGGATGATAGGAATGGATGACACCAGAGGTTGCCAGGTGAAGGTCAAAAGGTCATAGAATGCCATGTCCAGAAAAGGCCCAATCAGAGTTATTGGAGCACAATCAAAGATGAGATGGGCAGACTCACAACCCAGGGCCAAGGGAGCCACAGACGTTTACTGAAATGACCCATTCAGGTTTCCATACCAACTGTACATGCAGAAGTATCCACAAGTGGTCAATTCATTTATTTACTGTTGCTGAAGGTACCAACAGTGTCCCTGAATTTAACTATTACAGATCAATACTTTAAGGTCAAGGTACACATCCAATTGGATGTGAAACTTCTTCAGTGCTAGGATGCCTTTGACCAGCAGAGTGCATCTATCACTACATTGGGGCCATCTATTGTTACACAAAGATGTTCTTTGATCTATGACTTTCTGGGAACATAACAGGCCTTCCTACCCAGCATCCTGGAAGCTGTGTGTATATGAATGGGTCTTGTTCTGCTGTGTGTCTTTTTCATGTCCCAGGTGCTGGGGGAATTATTGTTCCCACTTGGACAGGCATGTGGTCCCTGCTCTGTCCATGCCTCCCTACCTGTCTCCTCTGTTATTTGATCAGAAGAGAAGAGAAACAAGGTCACAGCATAGGTTCCTGCTCCCCACAGAGCTCACCTTGGTGGCTGGTTCTGTGATCTGGCTCCATATATTGATCAGGAAGGGATTGGCAAAAGTAAGTTGGAGTGAGGTGGTGTCTCAATGTTGTTTTGATTTGCATTTCTGTTATGGCTAGGGAAGATGAGCATTTCTTCATGTGTCTTAGGATGTGTCTTCTTCATGTGTCTTAGTCTTCTTAGAATGGCTATAATCAAGATCTGTAATAACAACAGATGCTGGAGGGGATGTGGACAGAAGGGAATCTTACTGCATTGTTGGTGGGAGTGCAAACTTGTTGAACCACTTTGGAAAGAAGTATGGAGGTTCCTCAAAAGACTCTACATAGAGCTTCCGTATGACCCATCAATCCCACTTTTGGGCAGTTACCCAAATGATCACAAAGAAGACCACACTAATGCTATGTTTATTGCAGCATTATTTACAAAAGCTAAGAAATGTAACCTAACCAGATGCCCCTCAGTAGAAAAATAGATCAAGAAAATGTGGTATATATACATAATGGAATTCTATGCCTCCATCAGAAAGAATGACATTGCCCCATTTGTTAGGAAATGGAAAGACTTAGAAAAATTATATTAAGTGAAGTAAGCCAGGCCCAAAGGAACAGAGGGCCCAGGGTTTCCCTTATTTTCAATAACTAGTATATGTCTGAGACAAGCACCAAAGGTCAGATAAGTTAATGTTAGGTGAAATGAATCCCAAGATAAGTATTCAAATATTTATGCTTTCATGGGATTGTTTCTAACATATTTATAATTTCTTTGTTGCTTTGTATGTCACTCCCCCACTATGATCCTTGCTTTCACTGTATTTGATGTTGGTATAATTTGTGGGGGGGAAGGGAAAAACCAAATCGTTTGTTTAAATAGGAATACAGGTGGACCCATTGCAACAATGAAATGTACAACCCATTATGTCAAAAAAAACAAACTTTACAACTTTGGGGGATGGGAAGGGTTGGGAAGGGGAAACAAAGAGGGGGTAACAATGCTTGATAAGAAATGTACTCATTATCTTGCCCATGTAATTGTAACCTTTCTGTACAGTATTTTCACAATAAAAAAGAAAATAATTTTTTAATTAAAAACAAAACAAAACAAAAAAAGTAAGTTGGAAAAGTAAGGATGCAAATGCTACTTGGTGTTGGTAGTCAGCAAGACCTTGACAGAGGGTCAGTGCTGGGGCCAAGCTTGACATGGCTTTCATCCTGTTCCCCTCCTCTCTTACTCTATTTCTGTTAAGTCTGCCCAGAAGAACCTCTCCCCACTTCCTCTTCACCTGCTTGAAACCTGTAGTCACCTGTCAATCACCTGACTGTGAGTCAGCAAAGGAACCCACATCTGAGGTCACTTCCTCATCTAGTGAGGTCACTTCCTGAACTGTCCTGGTGAGAGAGGTTCCTCAGGCTCTGAGGTCACGTCTACATCCACTGTGGTTCTGCCTCAGTGAAAGTTCCCTTCTCTTTCTTTGTCTTTTTCTTTTTCCTCTATTTTTTCACTATGCCTCTATTTCCTGTGGGTGGGTAGTTGGGTTTTTATTTCCTGAACCTTGGGTTACATTTCTTTTCTGGAGAACCTTACAATTGTCATTGATATCTACTCTATTACTCTAAGCCTTTTTCTCCCTATATTTCAATAATGAGAGAAGGGACTGGGAAATTGGCTCAATGGTAAAGTGATGGCCTTGCATGCATGAGGCCCTGGGTTTGATCCCTCAGCACCACATAAGCAGAAATAAAGCTGGAAGTGGTGCTGTGGCTCAAGTGGTAGAGTGCTACCTTAAGCTGAAGAGCTGAGGACAACGCCCAGGTCCAAAATTCAGGCCTCACAACCAATAAAAAACAATGAGAGAAATAATGGGGATCTGTATTGGGTGATAATACATCTATGCATCTTTCTGGTTGGCTGTGTTGTAAAGGTGATGTACAGATGAGTTACCATTAGGTAAGTATTAGGTAATGAGTCCATTTCTGTTTTTACAAGTTTACCCAGTTTTTCCCTCCCTTCCACACACACAGGTTGTATGCTTCATTTTTCACACATGTCCAATATATAACATTGCTACACTTGTCAGGGTGATTTCCTGAACACGATGATTTCCACTTCCTCCTGTATTCCTGACTCAAATATATACTTGCATTCTCAAGACGCCATTGTTTCTGCGTGACTCCATTTACTTTTCCATTCATGTGTTGATTGGAACTGATCCTGGTTCTGCATCTCAGCTTTTAAGTAATGTCATGATAAACAGTAATCATATGTAAACATAGACATAACAAACACCCATACTAGTATGTGTGTGTAATGTGCATGTAATATTATATCTTTTGTCATATTATGTTACCAATAGTGTTATAACATTCCTTTTGGCCACATCCTCACAGCATCTGTAATTATTAATTTTCTTGATCATCAACCAAATAATTTAATACCAATGATGTTATAATAAGCTCTATTTTATGAAACTCAAGACCTACTCTGACCTTGTGCTACTTGAACATTTTGTGGTTAGAAATAGTGAAGGCAATTTTTGCTTCTCAAATCATTTTTTATCCAAATTAAAACAATTTGTTTCCTCAATTTCCTTTCTCAAGTATTTATTTGATAACTTCACTCTTCCTTTACATTTTTAAAATTTCCTTAGTGAGATTTTTTTGTCAGTCATGGGGCTGTAATATCTCAGTTGCTATTAATAAAGGGCAAAAACCTCTTGGTAAAGAAAAACCTCAGATAAAGACTAACTACTGGTCAGCCTTTGCTTCTCCATCCTTGTAAAAAGCAAAAGAGTATCTCTCCCTCAGTAGAGATGGCAACTTTGAAGATGTCTGCCTACAACCTTGAGGCTTATCATCAGCTGCCCTGGGATGCTGTATTAGTCAGGAGTTTATAATAAAAAATAATTTTTAATAGTGTCAATTGCATTAATAGTAATAGTAATGGTGGCTAAGTCAAGATTATGCTTTGCCTATACTCCTGTGACTCAAGGCTATGTTTTTGCTATGTTTTGCTTCTGTAACTTTGCTTGCATGCCTCTGTAACAGGACCTTAAGACCACCAATTATAAACCACCACCCAGTGGTGCCACTATGGGCAGCCTCTTGCAAGTTATTACATATGATATTTACCATAAAGAACAAATGAATTTAAAGGTCATATAACTATAACCAATGAAAATGTGCCAAACCTGCTAACATAGCTGGTCTATGTAACTCTATGTAAGCTATCCCTTAAAAACCCTAGCTTTAGAATTGCTCAATCATAGCTCCCTGGTCTGTGATGCATCCCTGGCCGGTCACTTCCCCAATAAATTCATCTTTTTACATGATGCTGTCTCTGCATGGCGAATCCTAGTAGAATATAACATCCCCACCAGGAAGAATGTGTAATCCCCTACAGTAGACCCCATAACAGGGCTTAAAACTCTAGGCCTCGGGGCTGTCACTCAGCTCTTCAGCTTAAGGAGAGTGCTCTACCACTTCAGCCACAGGGCCACTTTCCCTTTTCTTGTGGTTTATTAGAGAGAAGATTCTCATGGACTTTCCTGCCTGGGCTGCTTTTGAACCCTGATCCTCAGATCTCAGCATCCTGAGTAGCTAGGATTACAGGCAAGAGTCAACATCACCTGGCTTCCTTACTGAGTTATAAAAAAATTGAATTTTCAATTGACTCTGAAATATTTGATCTCAAAATGACATTTTTAACTGTAAAGTAATTACCCTTAGACAAACTGGTTGTAAATTAATATTTCCCATTTGGTTTAAAAGTAAGGAAAACAGGAGAATCACCTGTAGAGTGACATTGCATTAAGAGTCCAAACTTAACAAACGAGGTAGCTCAGATCATTTCTTTTGCTGCTTTCAAAATGCATCTAATTGCATCACTTTACACATCACTCTTCTAACTTTTATCAGATAATATTTGAAGGAAAACAAGTTTTAGGTTAAACAGTCATATTTTTGCCTTTTAGCATGTAAAGAATTGAGCAATAGCCAGGAGCCTGTGGCTCATGCCTATAATCCTACCTACTCAGGAGGCTGAGATCTGAGGATCGAGGTTCAAACCCAGTCTGGGTAAGAAACACCTTGAGTCCTTAATCTGCAATAAACCACTCAGAAAACCAGAAGTGGTGCTGTAGTTCAAGTGCTTTCCTTTAGCTGATAAGCTGAGGGGAAAGCACCT